GAATGTGTCAGAAGTGGGATTTGAACCCACGCCTCCATTCGGAGACCAGAAGCCTCAATGATGAGAAGCAGATGCTTGAGTCTGGCGCCTTAGACCACTCGGCCATCCTGACACGTTGTTCTATGTGGAAGTGTTATACTGCAGACTCTGAGAGGTTAGCGCCTAGCTGCGTCCCAGAAGAAAGCTTCTGAAAATTTGTCGGACTAGTTCTGAGTTCAGAGACTGAGAAACAGAGAGAGGTAGGAGGTACGAGCGTTAGCGAGGACCTGAATAATTCTTTCTGCCTTGGAGACGGGGTGGCAGGGTACTGAGCGACACTCCCTCCTCGCCCCTCCCCCTTCCCCAGTACTCCCAGCCCAGTCTCCTGCTTTCCGCTCCGCCGCCCGCCAGACCAGCGTCCCGCGCCTCACACGAATATCCTCCTACGGCCCCGACCCCCACATGTGATCTGGATCCCAGGTCACTGTGTTCTTTGTGATTCACACCTTTATCCAGCAGGTCCAGTTCGATGCTGCCTCAGGATCGGTGGAAACTTAAAGTGAATAAATGGTCAACCCCACTGCTCTGGACAAGAGAGGGTCAGTCCCCTTGTTCTCAACCCATCCAAACTGTGATTTTATCTCCTGAAGCCATACTTACATCATTCATTCCACCCATCACCGTCTCCTGACCTTCAGGGTTGCTTGTGCTCTACAGTAATAATCCTGCCTTTCTCTCTAGAGCTCTCAGATGCTTTCCAATAAATATTACCCATCTTGGGTGACCGCAGCTATTCTGAAACATAATGTTGAAAAAAATATGTTTAAGTGACTGAAAATGAAATAGCCAAAGTGGGGGGGGGGGACAAAAAAAAAGAGAAGAAATATCTTTGTTGCAATGATTATTCTAGGATTAAAGGAGAGAAGAAATCTAAAATTCCGACAAGTAGGAGTATCACCAAGTTTCTATAATTAGGCTGTAAAATCTAAATCTATAGGACACTTAAATTTGAGAGCTATCACTTTTTAATTTGTAATTACCTCATCTATTACCCTAAAACTAAATGGGAAGCATCTCTTTTTAAAAAATAAGTTTATTGCTTGTAGGTTTTAATCTTTTTATTGTGACTATTTTTTCACTATACTAACAGTACAATTACAAAGTATGCAAAATTGACAGTTTGTATTTTAATATATACATATGTTGAATTTTTGCACTAATGCTTCCTATACCTTGAAGCATAGGTATATTCCTATACACTCTTGAATTCTATTTGTATATTTTTTTGTAGATGAAAACGTCTGAATACAGGTTTAAAATATTTGGAATACTTGAAAATGGATATTATCAAAATATAATGTAAACATGAAATTGCAACTGAAATATGCCATAATTCAATTTTCTTTATAGACTGATTTTTGCAGGGCCCAGTACAGGCAATATTCCATGAACGGCTGGGTAGTATGTTTCCTAAGCACCTGTTTAATATTAATTTATTTTAATGTCTCAGAATTTTCATTACAAGTCCAGGGGACATTGGATAAGTGAAATCTGAGGAGATAGAGGCTTCTAAGTGGTTAGAGTTCAGTCATAAAAAACCTGTAGTAAATTGTATTTTCCAAAGATGGCCATCCAGCTGTATCTCATGCCATGTGTTTTCCTTTGAATGCAATTTTGACACATTTCCTTCCAGAGGTTACGGGGGTCTCTGTTCCCTCCCCTTGAATCTGGATAGGCCTGTGACTACGATGGAAGAGATACTCTATGACTTCCAAAGCTAGGTCATAAAAGGTGATAGAAGCTTCCAATAGTTTTCTCTCAAGACATCTGTCCCCAGAACCCAGCCACCACACTGTGAGGAAGCCCAAACTAAGCCGCAGGGAGGGACCACATGGAAGATAACTGAGGCCTCAGCGCACAGCCAGCAGCAGCCATACATTTGAGTAACCCATCCTTCAGATGATGTCCTGCCCCTGGTCTTAGAGTCTTCCACTTGAGTTTCCAGAAATCACGGAGCAGAGGCAAGCTGTCCTCATTGTGCTCTGCCCAAACTCTGTGAAAACCAACAAATCTGTGAGAACGAATAAATGACAGGTGATAAATTAAGCCGTTTAATTTTAATATGATTTGTTACATGACACTAGTTAGGTGTGGATCAGTCTTGGTCCAATGAGGAGAGAGGAACAAATAACTTGGCAGGAAAAGTTGTTTATTTATTTATTTTTCCGTTTTATTGAGATATATTTGACATATAACATTGTGTAAGTTTAAGGTGTACAACGTAATGATTTGACATATGTATATATTGCAAAATGATACCATAATAAGTTTAGTTAACAACTATCAGCTCACATAGTTACAACGTTTTTTCCTTGTGATGAGAACTTTTAAGATCTTACTCTCTTAGCAACTTTCAAATATAAAATCCAGTGTTGTTAACTACAGTTGTCATGTTGTACATTACATCTCCAGAAAGTATTTCTCTTATAATGAACAGGGAAAGTTTAATACAGAGAATTATTACCTAAAGAAGGTGTTGGAGAATCAAGGAATTGGCTAGTAAAAAAGTAAAGACAACACTGACGAATAAAGGAATAGCAAATCTAAGGAGCAGTCATTACCCTTAGGGCTGAAAACAGCTTAGGAAGCCTCACCTACAGCTGAGCCAAAGCACAGAAGGAAGAGCCCTCTACCCTTCACCCCACCCCTAGCTAAGATCCAGACCTCGATGGGGAAGGCACCGACATGGCTCACTGAAGAGTGGAGAAATTGCTCTCGGGTTGTGCCAGCAGAACTTGCTTGAAATGTGCCCTCTGGAACTGGCTGGAGATCCACCTTCCAGCGTTTCTTGGAAAGCTCTTCTTGGATAGGTCTCTCACTGAGCGCACTCCACTATAAAACACTCAAGGGGGACGCTGGCCAGGGGAAGTTGGTGGCTGCTGGTTGCTGCTGTATCATGAAGCAGCGGAAAGCCATGCCTGGTGTAGCAGCAAGGCCCTGGGGAAGCAGCAGTCCAAGTAGTGCGTGGGAACCAGGATGCAAAACCCCCTTCCTCCTGCAATGATTCTCCACCATCCTCTACCTGCAGAGTTTCAGTGCCGATTGGCAAAAGAAAACTATTTAAAGGATTCATATCCATTTCCACAAGGCAGGCAAAAAGGGTGAATTTGGGACTGAGAGACAATACATTCATGATGAGTACTGGGTAATGGACATTTTGTTACCTGAAAATGGGAACAAACCCTAAAGCATGTGACTTTGGGCCCGGGCAGCAGACAGAAACTAGAAAGACCTTGAGGAGAATGTTACTGAAAAGTCCTGAGGACAGTTTCTTCCTGTTGCCCATCTCGCCGTATTTCATCGAGGTTATACATTTCTTTAGGTGCAAGAAAACCAGAGGTGAACACTATAACCTAAATACAGGATGAAATCTGAGAAAACTGCAAACCACAGGTTTGTTGGGACTTTATGATCTCTCTTGAGCCTGCATCCCCTTCTTCTCTGATACTCAGGAGATGAAGAGGGGCTTCCGGTGACAGGCCCTTCTGCACAGGCAAGTTTAGGATTTTGGAGAATCTGAGCAAACTGGCTCCTCTGGAAGGCAGGAGGCAGACCTTGAGTCCAGAGAAGTTTAGGAAGCGCTGATGAGTAGTAGTGATAAAATTGACCTCACATTTCTTTCACTCCCCTCACTCTCAACTTCTTTAATACGCCCATTTCTTTTTTTGCTGCGTTTCCCTATTATTTGCATTTATGACACACCAGGTCACAAGGGCATTGTTTTGCCTGTATATGACTTTGGTGAGTGGGAGGTGGAGTGTGTTACTTTTTACCCTGGGCGACCTTTTAGAGAGCTGGCGGGCTGGCTTTTCAGAGACTGCAGCCTCTTCTCTGGATTATGGGAGAACTGTATTCCAGGTTGGGACAGATGCACAGAGACTGGATTCCCCACTTCTCCACCAATAAATCTTATTTTGCTGAGTTGTTTTAATGTTACTTGTATTTGTCAGTAGTCGAGGTGTTTTGGTTTTGCTTTTCGTTTGTAATTAAGAGCCATTGTTTCTTTATTAGCCAGCTATCAAATCCTGAAAGTAGACAGGAAAACAGTCCTTGCTTTGTTTCAGGTGCACAGGGCCTCTGACTTGGGACAGGAGACCTAGGATTTGTGGTTGAGTTTTCTTCTTTACCGGCTCTCTGTACATTATGGTTGTTGCTTGTGTCAGCTGAGTCGCTATACAGATTTTTTTTTTTTTTTTTTTGGTGACCCTCACAGCCCCTTTACCCGGGTGGAAATTAACAATTTTCTGGTATCTTTGCCACAGCTCCCTTGGACAGAACTTTTCTATTTGGATTTCAGCGACGCGCGGTGGAGGAGAAACATGGCCCTTTCTTTACGCCCCGGATTGAGGCTCCAAAACGTATTCCAGCCTCAAGGACTAGGCTACAAAAGGCAGAGCCTCTCCTCGGCTTCTGTTCCCGGGAGGTCGCTCCATTTCCTTCTTCCTGCTGGCCTCATCATTACCCTCACCCCTCAGTCTCTCTTCTGATAGCTGATATCGGGGAATTTGAGACAGATCTTGCCTGCTTTCCCCCAAGGCTCTAAGAACTGAAGTCTGGAATATCTGGGCTTCAATCGGTGCGAAAGGTACTGCAGAGCACCGGGCGTGGCTGTAACTAAAATCAAGTGGCCCAGTAGTTCTCACCCCAACCTCCGCATCTTGGCAGATGGGCTAGCTGTTTATTCCCCACTCCCGTCAACGTGCAATCTCTGACCCTCGGAGGCTCTGGATTCAAACAAAACTCTCAGAGGTGATTTAAGGGTCTTGTACTTCCTTTGACAAAAGCGAATCGAACGGGATATTAAAACTATCAGAGAGTGAGGGAATTTGACCACAGCCCAGAAAATCGAAAAGGGGATGAGTGCAGAGAGTCCAATTTTCTAGAAACCAATCAAAACAAAAACCTAAAGATCTCAGCCTATAATCTGCTTTAGGAAAAGGAGTGGAAACTTTATCAACCGGGGCTCCGTAGCTCAGGGGTTAGAGCACTGGTCTCGTAAACCAGGGGTCGTGAGTTCGAATCTCACCGGGGCCTTAGAAGCGTTAGTTTTCCATCTCGCGCAGACTTTAATTAAGAGATGTATTTCTAAGGGATGAGTTTCAGTTATCCTTGACACCAAAACCTAGAACAAAAAATGGACCTTTTCAAGTAAAAAAGGAATTACACAACAGAAATAAAGTTGCTGTGCTATCTGAGTTCTTGATGATACCTGAAATTCAGGTATGAAAACCTTACTCGAAGTACCACTAATACAATTAATACCAATATAAGCTGATAAACTATCAGTAATTTTTATTGGGATTCCATAAATTGCAACATACAGTCCTGACTAACTTGGGTGCTATAGGCCTAAAGAGATACTGTAATTATCGATTTTATCATACTTACCTAATGGACTTGAAGCTCCCCTGAATGCAGGAGCCATATCTTGTTTGACATTGTATCTCAGAGCCTTGCAGAGTGTGGAACCTAGTGGGTGCTCAGTAACTATTGAATTAAGCCGAGCTGAAGAAATGTAACCAGAGTGTGGTGAGTTTGCAAACACCTTAGGAGGCATAAAAGTTACCTGAAAGCCAAGGAACCAAGGTCAGTTTATAGAGAAGAACAAAGAAAGTAACACAGTGCTGATGAAGATTCAACCTAAGTAGGAAGCAGTTAATCTTCCCGGTCTCAAGTTATGATCTCATTATTGGAATTAGGTGTCTGCAAAAGCAAACCCCTGATCACTTCTGAATGGCTAACATAAATTGCTAAAATCAAGAATCTATATCAAAGATTAAAATGATGGAATTTCCATATACCACATTTGTATTAAATAATTAATAATATAATAATACCCCAAAGTCACAGATACATTCCTCAAAAAGTACTTTGGATTCTTGAAACAATCCAACACACTTTATATTGTATCATGTTTGAAAATTTTATTGTAAATTGCTAAAGATGCAGGACAGGCACAGATGATTCATTTTTATTAAAATCAACCAGAGTAGCTGTCTGTTTCTTGCAACTGAGGACTCTGGTTGTTCCTCAGTCTTCAGAGTTTTTTATGCTTTTCATAGCTTCATGAATACCACTGTCTCTGCTCGAAATATGCCTCCATCCCTTCTTCTAGCTAAGCCCTACTCATCTTTCAGAATTCAGCTCATGTATCACTTTACCTTCAATCTAGGTGAGAGGTGTCTTTTCATAGCACCATTTGTACACCTTTATTATAGCATATATTGGATATATCTACTAAATAATTGATGTATTTTTTTCTCTTTTTCTTCCAAAGTGACACTTATTGATAGTAGAAACCAAGCCTTGTTTAGAGCTGTATCACCACAGCAAGTTGGCATTCAAATATGTGTGAATACATTTTTAAAAAATGAATGAGTGAATGCCACATTTCCAAACCTGCATGCACTCTGTAGACAGATGACATTATCAGGAAATTATTTAGCCTGGTGTTAAAAGGAAACAATACAGAAAATTGAAACCATCTTCGTAATAACTTTACAGTGTTAATGTCTATAATATTTGCAGTTTATCCACTGAACTTCAGGGACCTTGATTTTGGTGCGCACTGGTAAAAAGCTGTTAACTATGTGGCACCGTATTCAGTAATTTTAAAAACGCAACACATGGTTTCCAGTTCCTCAGGTAAACAGCTTGGAAGTCTCTGCACTGTCCTAGCAACAATTAAAAAGCTGAACAGACTAAAAACCAACAACTCTTCTTGAATCCTTAAGAGAGAGGAGAATACAGGGCAAACCCCTACTGGCAAGATTGGAGAGACAAACTGGTGAATACGAGTCACAAACCTACCAAGCAGAGACCCATGGCCAGAAACTGCTGGGGAACGAGCACTGGGAAGAAAACCTGAACTGTAATTTATGAATTTCTGGAGGCTCAATGTGGACAACTCTGAGAGTTAAAAACTCCAGGGGAACTCAGTCACAGGGGGCCCTAACAATATTGTGAGATTTACCGCCAGGAGTTCAACCAAGTTCTCACAGTAAATATTGGAGAAAAATTTTTTCATAATACTGGCAGAGGAAAAAAAAAGAACTATTTTGAAATACACCAGAAGACTCTGTCCATCTATAAAAGGCCTGCTCTTGGGAGAAACTAATTAACCAGAGTCTAACCTGATGGGGTATTAGCAGAGACATACTGACTTGGGAGAGGGGAAATACTCTATTTCAGTCAGTTCTAGCCTTCTATATGGGAGAAGGAAAATGCCCAACACCAGCCCAATCTAATCATCTTATCCCATCTAAGGGCCGGGGTTGGGGGTGGGGGGAGAAAAAAACAGAAATTTTGTGAAGTTCACAGTCCAGATGCATAGACTCACTAAAAGGTCACTGACCTAATCATATGACTATAGAACACTTCCCTGCTGCCCACATCTCGCCACCACATTACTAAAGGTCTATTTACAGCAGTCCCTTTTACTCAGCACATTATGTCTGGCTATCAAGAAAAAATTACAAGGCATACCAGAAGGCAAAAACCAAAAACCAAAAAAAGACACTTGAAAAGACAGAGCAAGCACCATAGCGGGAATGTTGGAATGATCAGACCAGGAATGCAAAACAACTATGATTAATATTCTAAGGGGGCCAATGCATAAAGTAAACAGCATGCAAGAACAGAAGGACAATGTAAGCAAAGAGATGGAAATTGAAAGAAAGAAAGAGAAAGAGAGAGAGAAAGGGAGGGAGGGAGGGAGGAAGGAAGGAAGAAGAGAAATGCTAGAGACCAAAAAACACTATAATGGAAACATAGAATGCCTTCAATGGCTTTTAAGTAGACTGCACACAGCTGAGGAAAGAATCTCTGAGCTAGAGGATATATCAATAGAAACCTCAAAAACTGAAAGAGCAAAGAGAATAAAGGCTGAATAAAACAGAACAGAGTATTCAAGGACTGTAGGACAACTACAAAAGGTGTAACATATAAGTAATGGCAATACCAGAAAGAGAAGAGAAAAAGAAACAGAAGAAATGTTTGAAACAATAATGACTGAGGCTTTCCCTAACATTAATGTCAGACACCAAACCACAGGTTGAGGAAGCTCAGAGAACACCAAGAATACATAACAAGGAGACTACAAGTAGGTATATCATTCTTAAACTACAGAAAATCAAAGATAAAGAAGAAGTCCTGAAAGAAGCCAGAGGATAAAACACCCTACCCATAGAGGAACAGAGATAAGAATTACATCCAACTTCTCCTCAGAAACCGTGCAAGCAAGAAGAGAATGAAGTGAAATATATAAAGTGTTGAGAGAAAAAAACCCACCAACCCAGAATTCTCTACCCTGCAAAATTATCCTTCAGAAGCAAGCAAGAAAGAAAGACTTCTGGGTTTCGCTGATGGCGCAGGGGTTAAGAATCCGCTTGCCCATGCAGGTGACACAGGTTTGAGCCCTGGTCCGGGAAGATCCCACATGGCACAGAGCAACTAAGCCCGTGAGCCACAACTACTGAGCCTGTGCTCTAGAGCCCGCAAGCCACAACTAATGAGCCCATGTGCCACAACTACTGAAACCCGCGTGACTAGAGCCCGTGCTCCACAAGAGCAGCCATCACAATGAGAAGTCCGTGCACCACAGCGAAGAGTAGCCCACGCTCGCCACAACTAGAGAAAGCTCGCATGCAGCAACGAAGACAATATAGCCAATAAATTTAAAAAAGACCAACAAAAATTTAGGGGATTTGTTGCTAGTAGACTTGCCTTGCAAAAAAATGCTAAAAGAACTTCTTAAGAGAGAAGGAAAAAATATAGGTCAGAAACTCAGGTCTACATAGACAAAGAAAGAGTACTGAAGAAGGAATACATGAAGGTAAAATAAAACCCTGTATTTTTCTTATTCTTAATTGATGTGCCATATAACAGTTTGTTCAAAATAATAGTGTAAACAAAGTATTTGCTCATGTATGCTTATTTGTATATCATATGTATATGTATTTGCTTATGTATGTTTACATATATGTGACATGAATGACAGCAATGATACAAGGTACAGGAGAGACGAATTGGGATTATTTTGTTATTATAAGGTACTCACACTATTCATGATGTGGTATAGTGTTATTTGAAAGTAAACTTGGATTAGCTGCAAATGTATATTGCAAACTCTAGGGCAACCACTAAAAAAATGTAAAAGAAGTATAACTGATATGCTGACAGGAGAGAAAATAGAATCATATAAATGCTCAATTAAAACCTCAAAAGTCAGAAAAAGTGTAAGATGACAAACGTAGGAAAAAAGAACAAGGGCAACAAATAGAAAGCAATAATGAATTCGTAAATATTAATCTAACTATATCAATAATCACTCTGAATATTAATGGTTTAAATACCCCAATTAAAAGATGGAGCTATTATCAAAAAGACAAGAAATTACAAATGTTGGTGAAGATGTGAAAAAAAGGGAACCCTTCTGCACTCTTGGTGGAAATGTAAATTGGTGTAGTCACTATGGAAAACAGCATGGAGGCTTCTTAAAAAATTAAAGATAGAACTACCATATGATCCAGCAATTTCACTTCTGGTATTTATCTGGAGCTTGAAGGAAATGTCCACTTTGATGAACGAAGTTGACCCAGAGAAAGGGATCCAGAGAAATAAATACTCCAACCTCTCTGTCTTCTCTCATTCTGGTTTCCTGCTAAGTGCTCCCACAAATGAAACTCAAAGCTGAAGTCACAGGACAGGGGAGCCCATGCTGTGGTCCATACAGGCTGGCCTTCCATGGAAGAGTAGGCAGAGATCAGAATGTGTGTGTGTGTGTGTGTGTGTGTGTGTGTGTGTGTGTGTGTGTGTTAATATTAACAATTAAAAGCACTTAGCTTTCTATCAACATTTTTCTCCATTATAATGCCTATTTTGTGTTAATGAAAGTCAGTTTAATATCCAGTGACATACTGTGAGTCTTGTAAGTTTTCATCTCTTAAGAACAGTAATTCCTTAGATACTGGTTCTTCTTACCTAGATCCAGACTTGGAACACAGCACCATGAGTGCTCTTATGAGGTTTATATA